CCTTTAAATTTAGTATTACTACTCTTAGTTTCTGATAATAGGTTTTACTTAGGTCCCTCCACAGAAATTTAATACCTAAGGTTTAAAATGTATTTTTAAAAAAGAAAAATCTTTCTTGAAACTTTTATTTTAGTTAATTCCAAACTAATAGATTAAGAGTCTATATTTCTCATATTTTCTGTGCCATGTTTCCTCAAGGACACATGGCACAGTCGATAAAGGCGTTGGTTAGATCCAGTGACAGGACCCAAAGAGTGTGAGTTCAATACCGGGCTAAGGCAGTGGAGAACTTTCAGAGGGAAATTAACAGGAGATAACTGACAACCATCAAACATAGCACGTGGAACTAGAACAGTCTACCGCAGTGGGCGAAATAAAGGGTTCAGTTCGAAATTCAAACCACCTGAAGAAGGCTGGAGCGTACAACGGCCGAAACGTTGTAATAAATATGGCGACAAAAATGAGGACAATAGTTCGAATAATGGATTAAATTTAATATTTCCATTAAAAAAAAATACCTTTTCTATATTTCAAAATTAAATTGACCGATTTTTAACATCATTTTTATCTACTTGTCATCACAATGAAATTCTCTATTAAACATTTTTTCAAGAATAAAATATACTTTTTTGAAATTTTATTTCAGGAATATTAGTTGATTAAAACAAATTTGACTTCCTTTAATTTAAGAATATGACAGAAATGCATTTTTAACATTATGGTAGGTGTTTATTGAAAGTGTTGACACATTGACAGCTTGACTGAAAGTCTGAAGTTTATCTAATTTTTATTTGTAAAAATTACTTGAGGGATACAACATGAGTGCCTTTTTATCAGTAATCTTAAAAATTTACAAAAATATTCTCTGTAATCTAATGTTTTATCGAATTTTAGGCACTTCAAGATTAAATTTACTATAGTTGTCAATTTTATTTACAAAAATTGACATATTTATATACACACACAAAAAATTCAAATTTAAAAAAATATTAAGGGGGCTTTTCCATTTATGATAGTAAATATAGCTTTTTACTTAATAACTGTATCACCTAACTAGTACAAATTAAAACAGAAATTTAAAAAAGATTTAAAATTTTATTTTTTTTACAAAGAAAAAAAAAGGCCCTGCATATAACTAATATGAAATGGTACAAAAATGAATTTCTCAAACAGAATTAAAAAAAAAGAAAAAGATTTTTACCAAGATTTTCTAAAAAAAAGAAACATTTCTAGAATAATTTATTTGTAAATAAGTTTCATTAAAATTCAACAATTTTTTTTTTTGTAAAAATTACTTGAGCAACATGAGCGACTTTTTATAACTACGCAGTAATCTTAAAAATTTACGAAAATATTCTTTGTAATCTAATATTTTATCGATTCTTACATCCTTTTTAATTGACTAGTAGTTGATGTTCCCATGTGCCACATTTTTGAGATTTCGATTTCAGCACATTGCAGTCGGCAGGGACAGCCATGTCAATAAGGAGGCACATTTTATCATTGCGGTCCGATGTCTGGGCAATTATTATTATTATTATTGATCTAAACTATATGAAAATATCCAGATCCCACCGACCTTTCGGGCCTTAAAAAGCATGAGTATACTTACATATGAAAATTCAAACCAACCACCTCCCCACCCCGGGGGGGGGAATTAGCAAAATGACAGGTGAGTTTCATAAGATTGATGCTAAACTATTTGATTAATTGCTTTTACTAACTAATCAACTGATGGAAAATTTGTAGATGATAACTATCCCCATTAGATTACTCACGTTTCAGTTGCATTCCATTCATGCTGTTTACGTTTCATTCGCTTTGTCATGTTGATTACCAGTACATCCGTTTTTCTCACGACAAACGGAATTTGTACAAAGACTGTCGAAATATTGTTAACCATTTTCAAATACTGTCTGTTTTCTTCTCTTATATCGCGCTCTCCTGTAAGTGATGAAAAATTTGAGAAAGTTATGTCAATCATTTTGTTTATTATTATTTCCTTGGATTGTATACACATTTTGTTCCCGGCCTCAACTACCAAAAACCCTAAGGACAGAAATGATTTCATAATATTTTCCTGTTGACCATGTTCACCATTGTCTATGAATATAGAATACAGCGCAGTACGTAATCTGTTCAATGAAACAACGTTAAAGATTAATACTCACGAACAAAGGTTGGCAGTGAGTATTCGGGAAAAAATATGGCCACCTTTATACACGTCGCATTGAATATTTTGAGCCTTCTGATTGGTTAACTCTTCTATTGGTGAACTATAAAATGAGTCAGTTAGACGCAATCGTCAGGCCGCCTGACGATTGCGTCTAGCATGAAACAGACTGTCGCCTTTGGGTGTTGACTTCAATTTTCACTTTTATATTTACACACGCTCTATCTCTGATACTGAGCACTTTATCCCATGAATATAGCATACCTTATGACTATATTTCTTCATTTTTTTCTTTGGGCTTTGAACTTGCATGCTAGATGATTATTTTCGGCTAACGTACATGTTCTTTGTTCTTTCTTTTTTATACCTTTTTTTCCACTTTGGTATTGATTTGATTATTTGCAAATCAAGACTCGAAGGTTTTCCGGACGAGTATAATTTCTTATATTTATAAGATTATTACTAGTATATATATATATATATATATATATATATTTGGATTGATGTGAGTTTGTGACCCTGGGTTTCATAGTCTCGCGAGGTGAGTCAAAATTATGTTAACACTAGTATATGAAGATGAGTCAAAATTATGTTAACACTAGTATGAAAGGAATTATTTATTACTGAACACTTTTCACCTATCTACTAGCACGATTGACGCACAAAAACCATCGGTCAACAGTGCAATTAAGTGCCTTGACACACATTTCACGGAGAATGTTTGATATTCCGCCTTTTATAATGTCCTTGAGTTCTTCGATGTCTCTAACTATTTTTGCTACACACGCGATCCTTTTTCATAACCCATAACCAGAAGTTACAAGTTTTAATTGGCCTATGTTTTTTTACAACTCCAACGGTGACTGCAAATGCTTACTTACAAATGCTGCAAGAGTTTGCCATTGATAAGAAACCCCTACAAATCAGACGAGCGGGGTATTTTCAACCGGATGGTGCCAGGCTTCATTTTGCCCGTGCTGTTCACGCTTGTCTCAGTCAAAGTTTCCCAAATCGTTGGATAGATCGCGACGGACCGTTGGCATCGCCGTCACAAACCAATAATCTGACACCCTGTGACTTCTGGTTATGTAATGTAAAAAAGCGCTACACAAATGCAATCATGTTTCGATGTGTATTAACACATTTCAAAAGACGTTAGTAAATAACTGGTTAGTAGACAATTTATTGAGATTTAAAACCACATACATCCTCTTTTCACGAGAAAAGGAAGAAAAGAAAAAGAGAAAGAAATACACAAGATAAACTCTCATTCCCCGAGAAAAAGAAGAAGAAGGAAAAAGAGTAAGAAAAAAGGGGGAGGAGATAGCAGCAGGGTTAGTTTTCTTTTTATTCAGATCCACCAATCAAAATGGTCTACGCTAAGTTCAAAGTAAGGGGTGGAAACGGAAGTTAAGAAGCAATCATAAGTAAAAATGTCACAGATTTAGAAATTTAAACAACCTCTAGACATCATATTCGATACAAATGAAAGTTTGCTATAATGTTATGCATTAGACACATGTCATTTCCTGTGAGAGAAGAAACGTAATTTAACAAGATATTCGACAAACTACATACCCTGTGAGTTAACAAGTTAATTTTATATTTTATAGTCGGAAAAATAATATGGCCCTTTAAGAAATAAAGGGAAATTTAAAAACAAATAGATCTAGCAAAATTTTTAAAACATATGGATAAAACAAATTATTTAAACATAGATCTAACAAAATAATTTTAATACATAGATCATACAAAATAGAATGCAACTGTTAACTAAAGGATATTTATAGAGGGTCTTAATAAAACCAGTCAATACACAATGTGAAAATGCCAGCTAAACGCCAATACATTTATACAAAATATTATCAACACTACTGCAAGATTAATGTAAAAATTATATTACGTAGAAATTGATCTTATCAATAGAAAGATAAGCTTTATATGGTGCAACAATTTTTAAATAAAATGAAGGCTGTTTCATTAAGACGGATCAAAGTCAGCAGTAAGTAAATCAGTGTTATTGGTGAACATTTATTTATTTCTCTATTGGATCGTGTTATTTAAGTCATGGCAATTATGTGTGAAAAATAATATCGCCCAAATGTCCGCCATGGCTTCTGCGGCACACCCCCACTCGATGGTCAAAATTTTTGATGACGTCACGGCATAGTTGCTCCTCGATCTCACCAATATGCCTTATTATCTCATCCTTCAGCTGTTGAATTGTTGTTGGCTGGTTGGCATAGACCTTACTTTTGAGATGACCCCAAAGGAAGAAATGTCAAGACCTCAACTTCGCTGAATTGCCTTCGCTGTTTCGGGAGTTGATCTGACGTGGGAACATCTCATTCAAATTCTGTTTTCGTAATCGGCTTCGATAACTTTAACACGTTGTTTGATTGTTAATCTTTCCATGGTTGAAATTGCCAAAGATTTAAGTTGTTAAATCTGAAAGAAAAAGAAAAAAAATATTAGACGCTTAAATTTAATTCACATTGAAAATCGGTCCAAGTTATTGGAACACCCTTATAAGAAGAAACACTTGTCAAATTTCGAAGTCTAGCAAGATTTTAGAGTCAAATGTATAATATATTTCCAACATATATATATATATATATATATATATATATATATATATATGATGACTATGTTTTTGTGTTATTGTATATCTCTGTGTTCGTGTGATGCGTGAGGGGTAAGACAAAATCTTTCTGAAAATAGATCCAAACGTTGCTGATAAGGTCTGGGCTTTTATCTGTCTGTTAATCCCACACTCGACTCATAGAAGATGTTAGATTTAGCACCAAGGGTAAATCGTTTATCTCAGCACCGCCCTCTCTCAGTCACTCACTCTCTCTCTCTCCTTCTTTCTCTGATACGCTCTTTATATTTCCCTCTCTACCCCCCTCTCTCTGATTCTCTCTTTATATTCCTGTCTCTCTCTGAGTCTATTAAAAATCTTGTTTCTCCTCTTCTTTCTCTCCCTATATATATTTGCTTCATAATTTGTTTATATTTCTTCTCTCTTCCTTTTCATTCCTCCCGCCTCTTTTAAATTGTGTTTGTATTTCTCTTTCTGTCTCTCTCATTCTCTGAGATTCTGTTTATTCGTCTCTCTGTTTCTTTTCTCCTCTCTTTCCTTTCCTCTCTCTCTCTCTTCCCATTTTCTCTCTCTCTCTCTCTCTTACTCTCTCTCTCTCTGATATTCTGTTTACATTTCTCCCTCGCTCTATCTGTCTTTCGCCTCTCACTCACTCACCCAATCACTCACTACTTCTTCGCCTCTCTATTGCAGATTTGAATATCTATCTATCTATCTATCTATCTATCTATCTATCTATCTCACCCTGTTCACATCTATCTATCTATCTATCTATCTATCTATTAGGTTGGTGCAAAAATAATGTCGTTTTTTGACGTTCAACGTTTGCACCAACCTAATATCTATCTATCTATCTATCTATCGGGCTGTGACAGTCTATTTCATGAACCTTTAAGACTGCATTTAAGCATGAAACAGGCTGTCGTCATTCGATATTGATCCCTGTGTCCACTCTTATATTTCTATCACGGATATTAATCACTTTAAATATAACATACCTGTCTATCTTTTTTGAGATAATGTATTGTAATTATTGGCATTATTTACATTGTTCGAACTGAGGTCCTTATCTTCATTGCCATATTCACGACGTTTCGGCCGTTGTACACTCCGGTCTTCTTCTGTCTACTGCTGAGGTGAACAAAAACGGGGAGAATTGAGTTAAAAGGGAGATAACTGTATACTGAGACATACGGATAGGACATCACACGTAGAACTAAAACAATCTACCTCGGTCTACGAGATAAAGGGTTCAGTTCGAAATTCCAATCACCTGAAGAAGGCCGGAGCGCACAACGGCCTTAACATTTCGCTTTTATATATAGATATATATATATATTGTCATTGACAAATCATAAAACTGGACGAAACGCGTCAGTAACAACTTCAGTGTTCCGATTTGTCATTTATATTTATACATATATATATATATATATATATATATATATATAAAAGCGAAAATTGAAGTCAACACTCACAGACCTTACTTTTATATTTACATACGCTCTATCTCTGATACTGAGCACTTTATCCCATAAACATAGTACATCTTTAAACTACATTTCTTCACACATGTATATATATATATTTGGATGCGCGTTGAGCAGATATGAGAGATTCATGGAAGATTATAGTTTAAAAACAGTAAAATCGACCTGGCTAACCGAAACGCTCCTTTGTGGCTAAATCGGTAAAAGCACGTCAGGCTATATGACGGTTCCGTATAGTATACAGGTTCGATTCCTGTCGGAGGAAGCATATTTTCTATGAAAATTTCTTGGACATTCATGTCGTTAAATATAACTTTGTATTTTTGAAGTATAATTTTATATTTTTTAAAACTTTTTTCTAATGTATAACTAACTTATATTTTTATTTTTAAATATTTTTTTATCCTTACTTAAATATTTGTAACGTATAAACATAAAAAATGTCTTAAAATAATTGTCGGACTTTGTCCATTTTGTGTGACGTCATTTATTTACATTTGGATACGCGTCGAGGTTCGATTCCTGTCGGAGGACGCATATTTTCTATGAAAATTTCTCGGACATTCAGGCCGGTAAATGTCGTTAATACTGTTTAATATAAACAGAGCATTTACTTAAATATTTGTATCTATAAAAAGAATGTATAAACAAAATGTCGTAATATATATATATATATATATATATATATATATATATATATATATATATATATATATGCATGTTTACTTGCTATCGAGCATGACCACTTTTTTTTTTTTTAATTAACCGTTGCTTGGTTCTTATATGTCTTCCTAGAATCGCATTTAATTTTGCCAACCAATAGGCAAATGTGACATACATATTAAAAGTTTCTAGGGTGGCCACGGAAATGACTTTCCATGCAAGCATATAATTTGGCGTTAAATGCACACACAGATCATGTTAATTTTAGCAGGGGGTTAATTTCAGTTAATCTCACTTGTCTATTCAGGCTATGGCGCTACTTGTGGTTAAAAAGACCTGCTCTGGAGAAAAGAACCCATGTAAACATTGGACACGTGTCTGGTAAGGACAATTCTGGATTGAAAATGTTTCTCATTCTTCTGCTGTTCCTTCTGATATTTTGGTGCCTCGTCAAAGAGACGTGAACATTTCCAATTCACATGTGAAAAAAATGCTGCCATACTGACCTAACTAAAGCCTAATTGAAATTAAATAATTGAATGTATCTGTGTATATTTCTGAGAAGAGGTATTATGTACATTATTTACATTATTCGGACTATTTTCCTCATCATTGTCGATATATTTATTCTAATGCCATTTCCTCAAAGTATTCCATGTATATATTCGCCATTGCTGGTGATAATGGCGAGCCCATTGCTAAGCCCTCATCCTGTCGATATATGTGTGATCCCATTCTGAAGTGTGTTGTTTGTTTACAAAAAGTCAACATTTCAGAGGGAAATTAACAGGAGATAACTGATAACTGACATCCATCAAACATGGCACGTGGAACTAGAACAGTCTACCCCAGTGAGCGAAATAAAGGGTTCAGTTCGACATTCCAATCTCCGAAGACCGGAGCATGCAACGGCCGAAACGTTGTAATAGATATGGCGACAAAGATGAGGACAATAGTCTGAATAATGTAAATAATGTAAATAATTGAAATCTACAGAATTCAGTTCTAATAACTGCTTGTATACCTTTTCAATGTTTTTTTAAATTAACCAATTAAAAGCTTAAAATTTTCAAAATTATCAAAGATGACAGGGAAGCGAAAATCTCGTCGCAGCTCGTGATGTCACACATAACCACACGAGAATGAAAACAAGAAGTATTAAGTATGGGAAGCCGTTGGTATAAACCAATGATTTCTGTTATCAATTATAGGCATTTAAGATGCAATGCGATTTTCGCTTCCGCGTCTCGTATACACGAGTTTGTCGTTGCTTTGAAATTTTTCAAGCAAAAAAAACAAAAAAACAGACTATCATTATTGTTTTGTCCGTATGTTGTTTGATATATTGAAAAGTAATCGTCATCTTTGATAATGGCTTATGTAAGCCGAAAGCTTAGATAGGATTAAAACATGTATCAATATGGTAATTTTCTTTCATCTTTCAATGATAATGTTATTAAGCTTATCAGACAATATGAAACAAACTTACTTAAAATAAATAGACAAAAATTGTCTATATTATTTAATGAACAATGCATCAATATATATATATATATATATATATATATATATATATAAAAAGATGAAAATTGTGGTTTGGGAAACAGAAGATAACTGAACGATCGAGGCAGCCGGCGATTTTCTCGAAACAGCGTGAAAATGATTCAGACGACTGGAAGTGTTTTAAGTGAAAAGAAAACCGGAAGACTACAAAGGTTAGACAAGAAAGATGAAGAAAAAATGCTTGTGAGATTTTGGGTATGCAATCCAAAATTAACAGCCAGACAATGGAGGAGCGAATGTATTTTAACGGTGTGGTTTCAGTTTATACAGTACGTAGGGTAAAAAAAACCCCCAAAAGCAAATTGAACGAGCGTATAGCATAAAATAAACTTTATTAACCAAAATAAGTCGGAATAAAAAATTCAATTGGTCAAGAGAACATCTAAAATGGGATGCTGGCAAGTGGCAAAAAAATAATTTTTAGCGATGAATGCAGAATAAAGTTACATTTTAATGCAAGAGAATATGTCAAAATATAAGTGGAAGAAAGAAACAATGCAAAATACACCACAAACTTGGTGATGGAAACGTAATGGCGTGTAGTTACATCAAAAGCGTTGGTAGAAGAAAATTGGTTAAAGCTGATAGAAACCTAAATATTAGTTGACTACAGTCTAATCGTCTGCCTGAATTCTAAGATGGAGAAATTTATCAGCGTGACGGTTCTTCTTGCTTCACATCACGTGGAACAAAAAAAAAAAGTTTCATGTGTATGAAGATGTTCAGGTTTTGGAAGACTGGCGAACACAAAATCATGATTTCAATATAATTGAACCATTGTGGTGGGAATTGAAGAAATAAGTGCTCCAATGTAAACTACGAAATCCCCAAGAACTTTGAGGTTACTGCTAAGAAGAATGGGGAAATTTTTTCACCAGAGAAAATCTGGACATTGATATATTCAATGCCACATCGAAATATTCTAGCTTATGTCAGAAACACTAGTTACAAAGACCATATTTAGACGTTTTGTATTTTATGTAATAATAAAGATGACTTTTTTCAAAATAGAATTTCTTTTTAACTTAAGAAAAGAGCTGAGAAGTGAAATTTTTGCTGGTGGTCCGGTATTCTTGCATTAGCCTTTTTTTCGGCATCACTATGATCTATCTTACTATGATCTATCTTACTATGATCTATCATCCATCATTAACAGATATGCAGTAATTTGTTTTCTGGTCCTCAAAGATAAGAAAAAAGTACGAATTTGGGGCAAAATAATCAAAAGTATTTAACTTACCAAGAGTGCACGGCAGTATATATAGGGTGTCCATAAATTTCGTGTGCACTTTAAAAAATTTATAACTTTATTTGTATTTGCGATAGAAATAATCTGTGAAAAATGTTATAAAGTTTAATGTACCTAGTTTTTAAGTAAAGCTAAAATAACTAATGTGATTTCAGGCATTACTGTAAATCAGTTGGCAAATGTTTTTCATGAACTGCAAAATCATATTACCCTTTGTATTGCTAATGATGGAGGACATGTGGAAACTTAAATAAAATTTCAATAAAACCTTAAAAAATATAGATTTACTTCTTTCTAATCATTTTTACAAATTTTTTTCTATCGCAAATACAAATAAAGTTATAAATTTTTTAAAGTGCACACGAACTTTATGAACCCTCTGTATATATATATATATATATGCTATTTTTTATATATATTATTTATATATTATATATGTGCAGGACTAAGCGTTCAATATCAGTGATAGAGCTAAAATATTTAGTTGCGTCGATGTGACTTTGTGACCATAGGTTTCACGCTATTTGCAATCGTCAAACAAGCTGATTAATTTTTAAATTTTGGATTTATATATGGTTGCGCATATCGGCGTTTTTTTATGGAAGTGGGAGGAAAAATTGTTGTTGCCACTTATAAATGCAGACATAGATACATGCACGCTCACTAATCGCAGCTCACACAAACATAAACTGGGTATATATGCATATCCAGGTGTCGTTGCGTATTCTGAATACACTAAGGCCGAAGACAGAGACGCAGCATCCGCTCAAAGAGCTCAATATCTGTATTGTATATTATCCACTTCGAGGCAACATCATTTTTCAGGTTTACTAATTTGCATATTGATTTTAAAAAAAGTTTATTTCATTAATTAACTGTCCTTCATTACTGTTTTTTTATTCGAGGATTGTTTTGATTTTCACATCAAAAATAGTTCTGTTTAGGAATATTGTCATATATAGTGCAGAAAAGTGTTTGAAATTTCCATTTTACTTGGCCTTCAACAAGTTGGCATCTATTTGTAAAACTTTCCTTAACTATAACAAGTCTGCCTCCCACACCCGACTAATTAATTTCTTCAGTCTTTACAGTCATATTCTTTGAACAAATATATTGAATGTCCATAACCCTTCAATACTTCATAATTAGTGAACATTAATCCCATAGAAAAAAAACTAATTTTTCCTCGAGAAATGACCAGGTTATTTTCTAAGGTAAACATTAATCAGTTTATATATCTAGCATCCATAATTATCTGCTTTTTTACAGAAGTTACAGTGTGGAAATTTGATAAATTACATTCTACCAAAATGGACTTTTCTGAATAAATAGAACAAGTTTTTTTTAAAAAAAAAAAAACAAACAATTTTTCATACACAAACGTATCCCCTCACCTCGAAAGAAAATATGAAAAGGCTTCCTTTTTGATTTATTTATTTTTTAAAATCTTAACACAAATAAGCTAATGACTAATTTGCATCCACCACTTAAAATATCTTCTATTAAATTTAATTTTAATTAGAAATCCATTCACAATTACCAATAATTAGTCAAATGTCTAATATCTATTTATTTTTTCTATTTGATATTAATTTCCATTGGACTTCAAACAAAAACTTTCCTTTTTTTGGCGTATGTTTTCTATTATTCATTTTGATTTCAGTTTTTTCACCATTATGTTTTTCATTCATTCAAATATACACGTATTTTATTTCTATCAACAACTATTAAATGTTATTCAGTTTCACCATGTTTCATTTGTTTAAAAATGGCTAAAATTCTAATGTTTAGCTATCTGAATAAATACAAATGTTTTCTTTCATGTTTACAACCAATTTATGAATGAAAAAATTTGTTTCAAAGATTTCAAGTAGTGAATATATCTTACTTTGCAAAGCGAAGCTTGTTAGTTAATAATAAATATACATTTTGCCCTTACCAGTAGCATAATTCTGAGTTTCATGCTCAACGCAGTCGTCAGGTGCTGATTGAAAACTCAAAACACAGATCTACATACACACACACATATACACGCATACACAAAAGAGAACAGCAAGAATGTATCATCGTTTATATATATATATATATATATATGAAAAACATTCTTGCTGTACTTTTTTTGGGCTCCATTTGGTTGATTTGTTGAACAAACCAACCTGGGGAGACCGTAGTGGTCGAAACCGCGGTAATGTTCTGGTCAGCATTCATATTTTTAAAAATTTAAACAGCTCTGCTAGTCTGGTCTTCCAACTTGATATTGAGCACTTTTAATACGTACGGCCATCCCTTGTCAAAATGATTGAATTTCCCCATATCCATAGAAACTAATATTATGATTGTATGTGCATATAAAACTCAGTAAATTTCAAAATAAGTTATTCCAAAATTCGCTTGAAAATGAAACAGTGCTAGAGACTAATTTAATTCTATAATTGAATTTGAAGTTTTTAGTTTCTGTTTTGGAAACATGGTAATTCCTGAGTAGCGATGGAACCATATTTTTAAATTAGTAAATTTATAATATATATATATATATATATATATATATATATATATATATATATATATATATATATAAATATAAACAGCTCAAACACTAATATTCCATAGTTATAATTTATTACATTGGAATCATAATCACGATCCAAATCATCAGACCTAGAAATTCAAAAAGCTTTTTGAATTTGTAGGTCTGATGAATTGATCGTGATTACGATTCCAATGTAATAAATTATAATCATGGAATATTAGTGTTTGAGCCTTTTATATTATATTTTTACTGTCTCCTGGACATTGAGTTCGACCACTAATATATATATATATATATATATATATATATATGTGTGTGTGTGTGTGTATAGATAGATAGATAGATAGATAGATAGATAGATAGATAGATAGATGTACAGTACAGTTCAAACGCTTGAAGTGACCCCCAGAATTAGCATGTGATGAACGTGACAGAGGAGAGAGAAAAAAAATGACTTTTAGACTCATTGAAAAAAGTATGGAATCAATTATAGTTTATACTTTGAGAAATAGTAAATGTTGGACCATTTTTATCTTTTATTCTCCCCAAAAATTAAAGCCATGATACGAAGCTTAGAACGGCTCCTGATCAAATATAATAGACATTCGTTGTCTGTTATATTTAATAATATATATTTGAATAATGACCTGCTGTCCCAATGCACTATATATATATATATATATATATATATATATATATATATATATATATATATATATATATGGACTGATACCTAATAATACGCATCCCCTCCCTAAGCGACGTGGCATTATGGCTACGTGCCGCCGGAGTTACTGCGTAAATATATCTTGGCACGTTACAGGGCAGTTCTGTTTGCTGGGTGTGGCTGGAGAATTTAGTCTAATTTGTAACGTGTCCCATCCATGCTAATTTGGGTTTAAATCTAGCGAGCGCAGGAGGTGTGAAAGAACTGGAAACGAGCCGAGGGTTCCTGGAACCAGTTTCGTGTCGACCGCATATGATAGACGGGGGTTGTGTTATCTTTTTGGAAAAAGAAAAAAAAAATCATCACCACTGGGGATCAGTGTGAGAATTAGACTCCAGCTTCACCCACGAACACCAACAAAATACACCATTGCAGAGCATCTATCTATATATCCATCTATTTATCTATCTCAGTCAGTCCATTATCTATCTATCTATCTATCTATCTATCTAAGTTTTTCACATCTATCTATCCTAGTCTGATCATATCTATCTATCTATCTATCTATCCTAGTCTGATCATATCTATCTATCTATCTATCTATCTATCCTAGTCTGATCATATCTATCTATCTATCTATCTATCTATCTATCTATCTATCTATCTATCCTAGTCTGATCATATCTATCTATCTATCTATCTATCTATCTATCTATCTATCTATCTATCTCAGTCTATTCATTATCTATCTATCTAGCTATCTATCTATCTATCTATCTATCTATCTTATTCTAAGAAGTTTTCTTGTATTAATATACATCTCAACATTTCTTTCTTTCTTTCTTTCTTTCTTTTACAGTCTGTTTCTATCTATCTATCTATTTATCTATCTATCTATCTATCTATCTATCTATCTATCTATCTATCACAGACTTTTCATATTACTTTTTCTCTTTATTCATCTATCAATATATATATATATATATATATATATATATACAGTTCAAGAAAGATGTTTGGATCACTGACACAAAAAAAGAGAATGTCTCATATCGAGAATATTTAACATCTAAATACATAAAGTAAAAAAATTATTTTTAATAATATGTGGAAATCACCACCCTTTGCCTGATGACGGTCGCGAGACCAGAAACACGTGTAGTAAAATAATGGAAATAAAACATAATATTTCTTTAAAAATCCACATTACAACCAAAAACGTTTGCGGTTTCTCACCTTTTTTATATATATATATATATATATATGTCACACATTATGAAATGGACAAAATCCGACAATTATTTTAAGACATATTTTATGTTTATACATTCTTTTTATAGATACAAATATTTAAGTAAATGCTCTGATTTTATTATAAACTGTATTAAACAACATTTACCGGCCTGAATGTCTAAGAAATTTTCATAGAAAATATTCGTCCTCCGACAGAAATCGAACCTGTATCCTATACGGAACCGTCATGACGTGCATTTAACTGATTGGACCACAGAGTAGTGTTCGGTTAGCAAGGTCGATTTTACTGTCTTTAAACTACAATCTTCCATGATTCTCTCATGTACATTCATATCTGCTCAAAGCGTATCCAAATGTAAACAAATGTATATATATATTAGAGACCTTTTTTTTTGTCTCTCTATATATCTATCAACATATATATATATATATATATATATTTATTAAAGATATTTTTATTTATGTTTAACGTTGTTATTTTATAGATACAAGTATTTATATATATATGATAAACAGTATTAAATAACATTTACTACCTGAATGTCTCAGAAATTTAAAAATATTCGTTCATAGACATTCGAACCTGCATCCTATACGGAACCGTCATATACGCTGACGTGCCTTGACCACTCGGCCACCATGAACCTTATGGTAGACAAGGTCGAATTTACATAAACTACAATCTTCCATGATCTCGTTTTTCATAACTGCTCTGGCGTATCGAATGTAAACAAATGTTTATGTTGAAATGGACGAGGTCCGACAATTTATTTATTAAAGTAAAGAACTTGGGCAAATTTTGTCTACCATAAGGTTCATGGTAAAGCCGAGTGGTCAAGTATTTAAGCACTGTTTAGCGTATATGACGGTTCCGTATAGGATGCAGGTTCGAATCCTCTATGAACGAATATTTTCTATGAAAATTTCCATTATGACATTCAGGCCGGTAAATGTTATTTAAATACTGTTTATCATAAACAGAGCATTTGCTTAAATACTTGTATCTAAAAATAACAACGTTAAACATAAATAAAAATGTTCTTAATAAATAAATTGTCGGACCTCGTCCATTTCTTAACATATATATATATATATAATAGAAAATTGGCTATCTACCTATCTCAGTTTAAGTCTTTTTCTATCTACCTATCAATTCATGTTTATCTATGCACTAAAGAACTTGCAAGAAATAATGAAATCCACATCACTACCTCTGACAACCGAGTAGGGGGTGTGGGGATTGTAATGATAAACAAAATTACCTACATGGGAAAAATTAACTCCGACGTATAAGAAAAAAATGGACGAACAAAAAATAACAAGTGAAACAAAAACTTGACAAGGAAATTAGGAAACTAATTAAAAATGAAAACAAATCGTGGTATAGAATATACCCCGCCAGAACAACTCAACTTTACGGTCTCCCGAAATCCCACAAAAGTCTTATCCTGATGCACGCCATTATCTCAGGAATATACAGCGTTCCCATAAACTAGCGAAAAAAAAGCCCCCAAAACAAAAAACAAACCCTATCCCATCTTATCCTTCTTGTCTATCTATCTATCTATCTATCTATCTATCTATCTATCTATCTATTTATCTGTCTCAGTCTGTTCATTATCTATCAATCTGTCTAAATCTGTTGATATGTATGTATGCATGTATGTATCTCTCTCTCTCAACCTGTTTATATGTAAGTATGAATGTATGCATGTATGTATCTCAGTCTGTTCATATCTATCTATCTATCTATCTATCTATCTGTGTGTCTGTCTGTCTATCTATTTATCTAATTCTGCTCATATCTATCTTTCTATGTATGTATGTAAGTATCTAATTCTATTCATATCTAATTTTGTTCATATCTATCTATCTATCTATCTATCCATCTATCTATCTATCTATCTAAGTCTATTCATTTTCTGTCTATCTGTCTATCTATTTATCTATTTATCTATCATCTATCTATCTAAGTCTATTCATTTTCTATCTATCTATCTATCTATCTATCATTCTATTCATATCTAATTTTGTTCATATCTATCTATCTATCTATCTATCTATCTATCTATCTATCTATCTATCTATCTAAGTCTATTCATTTTCTATCTATCTATCTATCTATCTATCTATCTATCTAAGTCTATTCATTTTCTATCTATCTATCTATATATCTATCTATCTATCTCAGTGCTTTCATATCTATCTATCTATCTATCTATCTAAATCTGCTGGTATGTATGTATGTATGTATCTATCTCATTCTGTTCAATTCTATCTATCTATCTATATATCTCTCTGTATATATATATATATATATATATATATATATATATATATATATATAACCTGATATCTATGAGAATACACTAAAAATAACGTTTAAAAGTTAACGTTCTTTTGTATTAATAAAAATATTAATTCTAAAATTCTCTTTGTTTTATGATTGAATTATACCGTGCTGATATGAAACAATTCAGCTGATCTGTGACGAAAGTAATTTCACTTAGATGCAGAAATATGGCCTCGTCTAAATGACTATTCTCCTTAGTTTTGTTGATGAAATTGTGCCGAGCGTAACGATAGCTCCCTCTGCCAAGATCCTTTTGATATTTTCTCTAATAAGATTTGTCGAATATTCAGGCCGGTAGACGAAAATAATAAATATTATTGTCGGCATCAGGGTGTAGGTTTTGGGGGACTTTCTTCAAACGCTGATTTTCTCGTCAGGATGATATAGATCGCTTTTCCATCTTAGGTGGTGTGCTTATATATCTAACTGTTATTCGGTTGTCACACGCGTGCACATCCTAAACACAACTGAGCCGACCTCTCTTTCAGATGTCAATTTGATATCATTTAAGTCTGATACTGGACCTGGCTATTATGAAGCCACCTGCCAGGTTAAATAATTTTCTGACTGATTTTTTAAAATTTGTGTCTTTGTTTTCATCGATTTTTCATAAATGTTGTTGGTTTGGAGTAACAATCTTTTTTTTTTTAGTCTTCAGTTGTAGGTTTTCTTATTCATGATAACAAGCCAACCTTTTTTGTCCGAGGAAGTGATGGATAGGCTTTAGCGTTTTTAGGTTTCTTTGTATTAGATCATTGCAAAAGTCCGTGCCCGATTAGAAAATTAAAACCAAAATTTTACATACTCACAATAAACATTTATTAATCAAGTACATAGCCTCCATTGTTTTCAAGAACTGTCTCCCATCGACCTACAAGCTTGTTGATACCATTCTTGTAGAAACGTGTATTTGTTTGAAGAACGTTGGGACGTAGTTTTCTAGTGACTGTACAGCGTCAAATTCTTTGTCATTTAAATTCTGTTGTAATATTGTCTTTGTACAAAATAACCGACAATTAGGCCACAGTATCGAAAGAACAGAAAAAGAAGAGTTTTATTAAATACTCATTCATAGAATGGAATAATTTAAATAAAAAACCTACTCCTCAAATCCTACTCTAATATAGCTACTTGCCCTTTATAAGTTGGAGCCGCAGTCACAGTAGTAGGGATGTACGCTAAGTCCTACCCAGGAACAAATTCTGCTGTAGAGGCCGGAATAAATGAAAATTCGAAGGAGTCCTGTCAGGTGAATACAATGGATGCTGGAGAGTTTCTCATTTCAACTCTTTAATTTCATGTCAGTTATGTTTTGCAACCGGCTGTCTTCCGCTTTCATGGTGGAAAATGACACCGTTTCGATTTTCCAAAATCGGACATTTTTCTTCAGTAGAAGAAGTTATTGTTTTACCGGATGAAAGAAGTGAATTTTTCCCTCCGTAATCCCACCAAACGGACATCAACATCTTCATTACATGCAAGCCCGCTTTAACCGTGGAGTCTGCACATTCACAAGCTTGTTTTAAGCACTGTCTGTGTCGAACGTTACCATAAACCAACCACTTTTCATCGTCTGTGACAATTCTGTACAAGAAGGGATCCTTTTAGACGTGTAACAGCAAATAAATCACCACAGAAACAGGACTGAGTTTGTACAGTTCCGTCAGAGAATGCGGTACCCATGTGGCGAAAGAGCAGATTTTCATCCTCCATCTTTAAGGCATTTATTTGTGGACAAAACGTCAACATTCAACAAAGTCGGATTCAAAACTGAACGATGCATGTTTTCAATCTCAAACACACCAGAAATCGGCAACTAAACAAATACTAGTGACAAGTTTCGATCATTTTATATTAATAATGAAAATCTGAAAAGAACTTTTTCAATGACCTGATATTAATGTCTTATCGTTGTTTGTCCCTAAGGTGGCAATGATTAACCCTTTGTTAAAATTGAGACCCTGGTAATTCTTATGTCGATTAAGTCTTTTGTTTGAATTCCGGTATTAAAACGAAAGCCTCAACAAAGCACCGAGGAAGGCCAACATCGTGCAAGATGACTGGGGAGACCTAGTTCTAAATCAAGTGACAATTTCAATTGCCCATAGACGATGAGCAACTGAACAGAAAATGGTGGCCGATTGGAAATTTCTGCCGTTGATATAGGATTTTGAGTGTTAAAAAACATATTTCAACATATGCTACCCGAAAAAAAAAAGCTGATAATACAAAGAACATGTATGAAAAAAAAAAAAAAAAAAAACCCCCCAAAAAAAAAAAAAAAAAAAAAAAAAAGAAAAAAAAAAATAAATAAAAAAAAAAATAAAAGCAAAAGATTAAACGGGACTAACTGGGTCACATTCAGAGATAAGCTATAAATATCCCCGCCGAAAATGAACATTTTCGTAATTTCTCTCGTTTTGTGAAGGGTCATTAACAGTCAAATAGTTCTCCAGGCGAAACAACTTTTTTCGGATATAAATCAGATAAGAGGAAACGAAGAATAAGAAAAAAATCTTCGCTGAATTTTATTAGTTGCTATTAGTGTCAATTCTTTTTTAATTTTGTAATTATGTATAAAAATCGTTTATTTTTTTATGAACACTTTCAACACTAAACTTAAACCTAAAACTATCCATGACCATAAAACCAAATTATATATATATAGTTTTCAATGATCAAATTCGCTTTTGTTTGTTCTTTAATATGGTAGCAGCAGCAACAGCCATCGCATAAGTCAGTGTTATTTGTTACCTCCCTTTGGTTTGTTTTTACTTCATCATAAAATCAGTTTACGAACCAGTAACAAACTTTTAACAAACAATTTTGCTATGCTTTTGAATATTTACTATACAGGTGAACGGCGGAAAATTTTCGCACATAAAACTGGGCGATGACTCAAAAAACGTTGCGAATCCAGGTTCTAGAGTGTTCCTCCTGGAGGAAAGCCTTACAGGATGGTCAAAGAGATTATAGATAGGATCATGTTGCGCATGAATAGATCAAGGGAGATGTTCATGAGGTTCTTAATGCTTATGAGAGCGTCGATGTCTCACTTAGTGGAACAGCCTCGAAAGACTCCACACAAAGAGAGGAGACATTCCTTGCATGCTATACGGAATTTATGTAACAACTATTAAAAAAAAAAAACGGCAAAAAATTACCACATCTGCGCCGAGGATGTAAGATCCTGACAGAACCCCAAAAGCCAGATTCTCTCTGCACGTAGTTGAGAATGGGTCAAGCGATGGCATGACTCGAAATCGAGTCTTAGTCATCATTTAAACAACTTCACGGCGAAAATGTCTTCGAAAACATCGCAGTCCTCTGCTTCAGTCCGATGTTCTACCCATGAGCCAGAATTTGCACTGAGTGCTAAATTTGAGGCCGTCTACGTCAGCATGAATGCGCCTCTGTTTTCAGAAGTTGGCAAGCGAACATGGGCGGACGTTAGAAGCAGAGAAAGAAAAGAACGGGGGGTGATTTTGATGAAGATGACGATGTCAATACGACGACAAGAGCAGTTTACGTAGGTCGGTTTTGTCGGGTGTGGACATCCTGAATGATGTTGACGTAATAATAGAAAACAAAATGAATCTATCTATCTATCTATCTATCTATCTATCTATCTATCTATCTATCTATCTAAGAATGTCCTTTATCTACAGGGTGCGATAGGTAAATTGTCGTCATTTCATATTTTCAATTTCGCGCATGCGCGTTGCTTGTTTATGATTTTGCTGACTGCACAGGATAGTAGGGTCAGTTGGGCACCGTCTGTGAGAAAAAGAGAATCACGACGCCAAGAATTTGGAGACGGCATGCTGTAATGCCTGGAATTCATGCCGGAAGCTCCAATACGAATATTTTGGAGTCTTTGGGTGTCAATCTGAGGACAATACAAAAAATTTGGAAAGAGTTGAATGAGTCTAATGGTGATTACGAATGTACGGCTGCTCGTAAAAACTCACTCTACTCGTTCTGATAAGAAAAACACCAGAATTTGTTGGTGAGTGCCTCAGACTCAAAACGTAGGCCTACGTCAAGTGCCTTGAGGAGGTATTGCTATCCTCGATCAAGATGGTGGCTACTGGGAGACCCTATGTCTGGCAACATGACTCTGCATCATGCCACACGATCACGAGTATCCACTCATGGCTGTCAGACAATTTCTACATCCAAATCGCCCTTTATATCTGTCCACCTAACTCTCCAGACTCTAAACCCCGTGATTATTATGGGTGGAGAACAATTGTGCGAGAGGCCAACAAACTCCTTGTAACACCAAAAATCAATTGAAGCAAGGATTATGGCAGCATTCAACACCTTAAACTAGCAGACTGTCCAGAAGAGTTGCAGGTGATTCCGAAGTCGTCTGGAGTTCGTGACTGAAGCCAATGATTATTTTATTGAATAAACTTCCTCTTTAGTATTTCAAGATATTTTTGTGTAATTTTGGTAAATATATATATATATATATATGAGAATTTACAAAAAGTATCTCGCCTTTTAATATTAAGAAAAAATAACCTTCATAGACGCCACACTCAACCTAAGAAAGGGTGGATATAAACCATGTAAAAAACCATTTACATCGACACATCTTCCAATCACCCACCAACAATAACCATGCAGCTCTTACAATCACTTAATCGTAGGTTATCTTACAATTATTTCAAGGAAACCATCTTCTATAAAGCCAAAAAAGACCCTGAAATATCCTTAAAAGAGGGTGTTTTTTGGCAACACTCACATGCACACAACATAGTACAATAAAGGAAAACAGGA